CAATTGAGTGCTCAGCCAGTAATGCCCAGGGATTGTAAATGTAACCTGCACAGCCATATCTAGCAGTCAAATGTATCAAATGCTGCCATCATGTCCAAAAGGATCAGTGCTGATCTAAGAACTTGCCCACCAGAATACAACTCCGAATTAGAGAAAAGTGCTGTTTCAATTGATTGATCTGCATGCCTGATATGGCTCAGGAAGGCCATTGGAAGACAAATAAGGAATCAGTTATAAGAATGGTGGATGAAAAAGGTAGCAGAGATACAGGATGCTTAAAAGAAGTCTGGGAAACTGCCAGTGGATTAAGAAAAAAATCCTCCGTTTTGTCCCCTTGGGGAGATGATTCAAGAAGTCAGGGGAATTTGGACTGGAGAGGTAGCCTCTGTGATAGAAATGCCAGTTACAGTATTTGGCTGGAAGCCTGCTGTGGTAGATATTGTCCAGGCCCTCCATCCTTTGCTTTGGAATGGGCAAAAGGGGTTTAGCCATCCAGCTACAATCTTGGTATGTTTCTGCATGTATTTTCCTTGTAATATACCAAGCTGCTGCTAACCTCATTATGGTAGTGGCAAGAGGTATGGCACATGTACTGGAAACTCCCAGTATGTCTTTGAATTTCCATGGCATGCAAGTCTCCCATGTTTTGTCCATAGTCTTTATGGAGGCTGTCACCAGAACCTTGGTTAGCTGCAAGTGGTTGATTTTTTGGTTATTCTGGAGCTATGCATAGTTTTCTAGGGGTCAGAGGCACCATCTGACTGATTTTAGGCATGTGGATCTGCAGGCACACATGGTGAAGACTCTCTTTCAAGATGTCTCTGGACCATTTTATCTGTCCCATTGGAGAACTACTGATTTTGTTACTTAAGAGGCTAAAGGCAAAAGATATAGGGAAGCGTCAGTTACAGTACAAGAAAATAGAAACCGAACCATTAGTGGGATGCCAGCTAATTTGGCCAAGACAGAGATTGGCATAAGACTGCAAAGAATGTGAATTTTGTGCACAGATGCATTGCAGTACATTTCTGATTCTTTTGATTACTATTCCACACAACGTAGCAGGAGCTCTTGACTGGACTTCACTCCATAATTTCCTTTTTATCTCCTCATTCTTTGTAGATCCCCTGACCCTAATATCTGCTGACTGTTCTGCATCTTGGACCTCTGGGAGGTATTTCCTTGGTCCCATCCAAGAATGCCAGACACAATGAAAAGGCCAGGACAAATCACAATAACCCACTCCTACAATGGACTATATCCCCCAATGTGATCTTCTCTTTCTACATCTCTGAGGATGCAGCACCCTTTTGATCATGCTAGCCTTAGGAATGTCCTTACTTAAGCCAGGGTCACAGAGGTTGATCTGTCTTGCCTACTCCTATGTTGCTCCTTCAGTATCTGGACAATCTATGAGTGGTATATACCTTCCTTATCTGAGCTCTCAAAATGGAGCTGTTATCTATGTCATGCCCTCATAACTAGACTTTCTACCTCAGAGGGGAGACTATTCAGTATACAGTATATACCTGTAGTTTTACACTTCACTTGACCACCAGGAGGCAGTGTATGACTGGTTTGTACTTATTGGGGTTCATCTGATGCAGTGTATCCTTAGCCTTAGATCTTACATGGTTCAAACCTTTCTACAGTACTGGGAATTGAACTTTTGGGCCCATTATGCCTTATACAGTGCATCTAGCTTTATGAGTTATGACAGCCCTCATTGTCAAAGTTTGTTGTGGTGGTCAAATAATGTGTACAATCACAGGAATATATACTGAAATAGTCCCCCCATGAGATAACGGAGTCATGGAATCTCTAGTATGAGGGGATGGTGTAGATAACAGTTCTCTCTAGTCAGAAAAATCAGATAAGAAAGGTGTATCTCATTTATAGATTGCCCATATAATCTCCTTTCTACAAACCTTGATAACTAGGGCTGTTATAGCTCATAAAGCTAGGTGCATTATATAAAGCACAGTGGCCCAAGAAATCAATTTCCAGTAGAGGGTTTGAACCATATGAGGTCTAATGTTAATTATAATGGCTGAGTCCCAATAAAGATGTAACTGGTCATACATTGCTTCCTGGTGATCAACTAATGTGTAAAACCACAGGATACTTCAGCTTATGGGGAGTCTTATCCTGGTCATCTAAGGCACTAGCAGAAGGGTTCTCTCTTCCTCAGCTTTCTCCTCAATGCTCAGAATCTATGGCATTCCTGATAGAACACTGTGATGTACCAGGTGGCTGATGAATCCAAATCATGGAACCTGGAGAACCTTATAGTTTTGTGTGCCTCCATTGGAGCAGCATAGTGTTCTAGATCAGATGGTTCTGGAGGCTCATCAAATGGATAATCAGAATTAGTGTAGGAATATATTTTCATATCCTCCCCGTCTAACATGTTGTCACATCTCAGTCTCATTCCTACCCTTCAGTACTCCATTCTTCCTTCCTAAGGAATCCTACCTTCTACTTTCCCAGTTGTGTAATTCCCCCAAAACAAATAAAATGAAAGAGTTGCTACCATTAGCTCTTACTAGAATTTGAAAGATTAAGCTGAACAGCTATCCCAGGAATGAAGACTACTTATATACAATTGTTCTTGAAAGAACTATGGACCTCAGCCAGAGCCATTTAGGTATTCTATGGCTTGCTGGCCTATGCACACTGGGTTGATTCCACTCTCTGCTCCATTTATTATTGCTACTCTGTACATCATGTTCAGTCTTGGCAAGAAGCAACATTTGTCAATTTTGCTTCCCAAGCACAGTGATTTTAAATTGGCAGAAAGGCTATAATAGTTGTGCCAAATTGGAGGAAAAGAGGAAAAACTCACTAGCAGACAAGCCTCTTAAAGAATCTGTCACTACTGGCACATAAAATTCTACCTCTAATTGCAATGACATATCAGGATCAATGTCCCAGATAGCAAGAGAGAAACCCCTTTCTCTCATTCCCCTTCCCCCTTCAGTTTGAGAATCCCTTTGCTGGTTCAATTTTCAAACAGATTATTCTGTTCAATCACTTATTTCTGGTAAGTATGTTTAAAAATGATGCTCAAGCCCTGATCTTTGTGCACATTCTTACAACAACCATCCAAGTATCTCTGTGATGTTCATAATCTGTGCAGGAAATGTATTTGTTACAGTACTAGAGGAATAATATTGTTGATGATCATAACACTTTTGTGGATTTATTTTGTCAAATAGTTATTATTAATTTGTCCTATGAATCCTTTCAAACTGGCATTATATACATGTGTTTAGGGAGTACATTCTATTAAATATTATACAATGTACTGTAAGGAAATAGTCTTTACATTTGTCGCACCTGCTGTTTATCTTGAACCTATCAGGGAAAAAAAGCAGTAGTCCTATGTATTTTTAGTTTGAAGTAAATTCAGCTGAACTCAGTATGGTTAACATCTGACGTTACAAGCATAAACTGCACATTCTGGTTTAATTTTAGAGGAAAGGGAAAATAGTTTATTCAATTTTTCCAAGACTGTAACGTTTATAAATCTTCACAATGTTTCTTCCCAAACTACTTCCGCCTTGAATTTAATATTTCAACCTCACATCTTTCATTATAATTTTCTATACAGCACGTTTAAAGACTTAAATTACTAATCTATTTTCTAAATTTGCACAATACTTTGAACTACAGTGGCCTCAATTCACATGACATGCTGGCTACCAAAAAGAGAAAGGATGTCTAGAAATATTGTGTGAAGGCAGATGTTAGGTTTGTAACTGACCTGATTGTGTTGCATGAAAAGACTAGCCTGGTAAAATTCTTATTAATCTGGAACAGTTATGGTTTGGTTCACACGTCACACCATATACCTGTATGGTTTATTTGCTTAACATGTTCTGTCATACTAACTGAAGCTTATTCAATAAATAATAATGATTAATAAAATCACACTTTACATGATGTGTGAATCATTCTTTCAAATGCAGACACACTTTTTCCATAACAGCCCAATTTTATTTCATTGTATATTGTCTTTTCTCAGATAAGATGGGGAAGAGGTCCACAATTCCAGCTAGGGGTGCTTAGAATTTCACCTTGTTTTCATTTTCAACCTAATAATATTAGGTCTAACGTTAATTAAGCCATGTGTAAATCCAGCTTGGATGAAGCTTACTAAACCCTATACCAAGAAAAAGTGAAAAAAACTTGTCTCACTTTCAGTGTGTGTGGTACAATCTAATTTCTTTCTTATAAAACGCCATGAAATTTAAAACTGCTTCATTCTAATTTAATTGTAGTATGCATAATATAATTTTTAATTCTCAGCACTATATCAGAGATCACCTTTCGAATACTTTTGTTTTCATATTTCTAGGAAATTATTGTACCTGACTGGCATTGTCTCAACGAATGAAATTTTTTACATTTTATTTTTGGTTACCAAATCAAAAATATCAAAACACCTCAGAGCCATGTGATAAATAAGAACATATATTAATGTCCATTATTTTTTTTAAAATGCAAGCAAAATTAACTGCAATGCAGTTGTCATTCCTCCGAGTAGCTTCCTGACAAATTTCGCCGAGGAATTTTCTCTACAGGGCTGTTTCTCCTTGACAATGACACAGAAAACCCTGCGTTACATTGTACCGATAGTCCCTCATTTCACAAATGATTCCCACATACTGTACGCGTTTATGGGCTTCCAACTTCTTTGAAGCAGGAATGGCGACCCAGAGGCATATTCGGGCAACCCCAGCACAGCCCAAAGCCGCCAAGCATCTGGCGCGCCCCACCCCCCAGTCACAATCGCTTTGCAAACTGGCAAAACCTCTCCCATTCCCTCCCGCCTCTCTCCTGTCCTTCAAAAAACGCCACGATCAGCACCAATTGGAAAATTCGCCGTGGTTACCTCTGGCCAATGAAGTAAAATCGACAAATCAGTTGTCAGGCAGGTTTGGGGAAGCAGGCCCAATCGGGGCGATCCGCCACTCCTGCGCAGAGGGAGGCGGCGGCAGCGAGGACAACCGAGAGAGGAGGCCGAGCCGGCGGGAGAGGCCGACCGGGTCAGCTCGTAGTTCTTTAAGATCCGGGATGCCCTACAAGCTGAAGAAAGAGAAGGTGAGGGGAGCAGGCGGGTGTGCCGGGAAGGTGCTCTGTTAGAAAGACGAAAATGCCATAGTGCAGAAAACATGCCCAGGCCTGGCAGCGACCGAGCTCGGGGCCTCCGCCGGGAGAGGAGCCTCCCCACCCGCGCGTCAGGAACTGAAGCCGCAGGCTGGTAGGGCGGGTACAGGGGCTGCTGCAGCGCTTGTATTTGCAAGAGTCATAGCTCTTTCGGGCGACGCAGGATCCGTGTCGTGCAACAGCTACAGGAAGCGATCAAGACACACCTGCGTGCAGGCAGACCTCGGTTTGCCACATACAAACATCGCCGGGCGCGCTGAGACAGACACACACACCGCAGACAATGCACTTCAGGTTACCTCTGGCAAAGGCCGTTGGTGGTGGGGTTGTAGTTCGACGCGTTCAGAGGGAAAGCTAGCTTAGACAGACGTCGACAATTTCGTGCGCTCTTCCAGGAATCTCCACAGAGGGAAGGCGAGTTGGAGTTGTGTGTTTCAGTGATCTGCTCATAAATAAAAGGACTGTGGATGTACCTGCATTGTGGCATGGAAAATACCAGCACCCGTATGGTTACAGCTCAAGACTGAGATGTGCAGGCTACAGAAGCGAAGAGGGGGGGACGACTGCACGATGCATAGACAATCGCGGGGGTGGGGGAGAGAGAGGGAGGGTTGGTTGCGGAAAGCAGGAGAGAGGATTTAGTAGAGACTGCCCCTGTGGTACAATACAGAAGACCATGCTTAAAGAGTGGGAAAAAATGCACATGTCTCATTTTGGTATAGATTTTAATATGCATGTAGTTGCAGAAGGCACTGTTCTTTGTTAGGTTACATAGGCATGTATCCACTATTCCATGTTCATGCAGATTTTTGTATGGAGATGGACACTACCATATAGGCCTTACATAAAACTGTATGCAGTATACTGTAGGTAGACCTAAAGACAGACGCCCTCCTATCCGGCATTACACTTAACCATAAAGTTGTAGAACATGTTGGATCCATTGTTGCCATTCTCACTAAATTGTGCAGTACCTAAGATAAATTTAGATAAAACTGTGTACTGTACCTGTTCCAAAAACATTACTAAGCAAGCAGCTGGAGATTAAGCAAATTCAAGGCCTATACATGTGCAGGCAGACATAATTCTCCAATGGTGCATGTACTTGAATTGTATATAAAAATTACAACTGTGTAGACATGCTTATATGTTCCTAAGTTTGTGTGTTTGAGACAGGAGCACTTTGAACAAATGTTTAATAGAATTTTGTGTCAGCACAGATTTTGTATACCATATGTCCAGATGCAAAATACATTGTGTAGATACTGAGGATACTGGGGCACATCTATAAGATCATGTCATTGACATTGCTTATACAGTTGTGCATAGCTGCAAGCAGATGGTAGACTTCACTTCTCTAGGCTGCAGAACTCCACAGAAAGTACAACAGCAAGAGTCAGAGTATAGGCACAGATCTGATCAAATAATAAAAATGACACATCAATAATGCACATATCAATGGAATGCAAGTTTATATCCATGTGCAATTCCTGAGTGCATAGGCACTACATGGCAGATATACATGGATTAGTTGCAGAGGAGAGGTGGCCCCGGTGGAGTACACAGTCATGCTGAGTCTAAGACTCAGGAATATAGCATGTCCAGTAATGGAAATCCTCATGCTTTGCTTGCAGAAGATTTCAGGTTCACATCCCAGTAGTTCTGTCTAAAGCTAACAATAGTGCTGTCAAGGTTGTAAAAATCTGGACGAGTCCTAGATGGCAACAAGTATCTCTTTGTGTTATCTAGGGGTCAACTGGGTTTTTGTATTCTAGCTGAGAAAGAGGGGTGTTTAAAACCTGAGAAACTGCTTCTTAATAGTGTAGACACTATTAAGCTACAGGCATTAGTGGTCTGAGCTGCGAAAAAAACTGCTTGCTGCAACCTCCTACATACCTTTGTTTGGCTTTGTGCGTAAATCATTTTAAATTCAAACTGTTCTGACGTTACTGTAAGTGCTTTGAGTGCTAAATGGCCATTTCAACTTCAAAGTAGCTTGGAACAGTTCTGGTAGGATTGGAAAAGCTTGTTTCAAACTTCAAACAGGTATTTCGAGCTTAAGACATTTTGCATATCTTTAGTCTTGACACATTTACTTTTTGTCTTACACATTTACACAACTACGCTCAGTTGCTTTCAGTTGCTTTCAGTGAGGCTTATGTCTGAGACATGCGTAAGATTTATCTGCCAGTATATTGTGTGTGTTCTAGGGTTTTCTTCTGCTTCTTATATTTTTCTCTTCTAAATATAATTCTAAGTACCAACTTTGTAAGCTTTTGAACAGTCCTAACATAATCTGGAGTGGACTCTGTTAGATTGCCATAGACCAAGGAGGAAGTCTGAATTGTAGTTAAGGGAAAAAGACACAATTCAATGTGCCTGAATACCAATGCACTTTAATTCACCACTAGGGTATGTTCTAGTCTGTTTTGTAACATTCAAAAATTTTGAACAAATTAACTTTTCCTGTACTATACATTATTAGAATTGTGCTTTTGCCATAGGTGACAGTTTTAAAAAATTAATTAAAAAAAATACATCTGACTAACATAGACATAATGTTTTGAGTACTCAGAGGGTAGGTAGAAACTTTTTTGTCTTTGGTTAATTTGGTGATATTGCTTTGCTTTTTTCTTGTCATAAAACAAGTATCTTCAGTTTTACTTTCTCCACATCCATCACTACCAGTAGTAGCAGTTCTCATGTTGTATTTATTCAGTTTATATTATTGCTCTTTTCATTGCATTGCTCTCTTTGATGGCGAAACCCATCAAATCTCTTCTGGCATGTTAAAGTCTAACAGATCTATTATGGACTAAATTTTTGTAGACTGCAGTTTACTTCAGAATATGCATCTGTTATGTACCTTATGGACTTAGGGGTGACCAAACTTTATAAATTTGTCAATTTTTAAAGTGCCACAAATCTCTCTCTTGTTCTTTCTTTAATTTTTTGCTGTCCAGGAAAATACAACTATCCCACTGCAAAATATCAGTTAGATTTACTTGTCTTGGCAAAGCCACAGCAGAGACTCAACAGTTTATTCTAAACTACAGCCAAACAGGCACTTTCCCCGGGTGGGGTAGAGGGCAGGGCTTACAAAATTGGGTGACCATTCTAAGAGGAGAAGAATAAATCATTCTGGAGAACTGCCTTGACAGTGCTTTGCTTTGCACAGATCTTTCTCTTATACTGGGAAGAGGATTTCAAACTGCACGGGCTTGTGCAATATGGTATAGCATTTTTATTTATAGGAAAGTGTCTGTCTTTCACTTGCACACCTACCTTGAGGATAGTTTTGTGAATTACTACATCTAAATATGCTTTTTTGGTTCTGTGTTTGTATCTTTTGTTTCTTTTACCTTTCTTCTAGGAGCCTCCAAAATCTACTAAAAGCACTACAAAGGCCAGCAGCAGCAGTGGAAAGGATGGAGGCAATGCAACAGAGAATTCAGAAGAGGTAATGCATTTAATTAATGTGTTTTGTATTTTCTAATTATTTTCAGTGTTCTGCAAATTTACCCTCTTATTTAAGGATAAACCATGTTTGTTAAGATAAATATGGACAGAACTTGACTATATTTCCACAGCATGCTTACCTGTAGTTAAGGTAATTGTAGATTGCTTATACCAATTTTCTCACTTAATATTACACTCCGAACCATAAACTAATCACACTGGGTCAGTTTGCACAAGACACTAAATGATACACTCTTCGGTCTCAGGTGTTATACAAACCCAGCCTCTGATTAGGGTGGGGAATTGATTGAGAGAGAGAAGATGACAACTAACCATTTTCTTATGAGTTTTGTCTTCTCCCTAAACTCTAAACTACCTCTAAACTACCTCTCCCTAGTTAATACTCTTTAGAATTGTTTGATTACAATTCCCATAATCCCCAGTTTTCTGGTTATTTTAAGAATTGGTGTCCATTCCAGTACTACAGTATAAGGAAAAGAAAGCCAACAAAGAGACTTGATAAACAAGCTTCTAAATTCTCATTCTGGTTGTAGAATCAGGCTTCTGGCAACTTGTAGCCCTTGGCCTAAATTACAAAGTGATTTACAAGCAGACAGTTCATACCCTTATCAGGTGTGATCTCTGTCTCTCTTAGCCTATTGAAGTGAGAGGAGGGGGGCTTAGAAGGAGATGGCAAAGAGATGTTCCCATCCACTTTTGGCATTATTGTCTCGAAGTACCACTCTTGAAGGGAAAATCATTTCCCATCTGTTTTTAGGTTGAGCTTTGATTATACTGGAGATCTGAGCTATGCAGCTACCATGTAAAATTCACCCTTTTTCATCTTAAAGACATAAACATTCAAGCTCTAGAGTCCACTTCATCAGATATGTAAAAATATCCTTAGATAGTGCTAGGTACTTTGAGGAATTCTGGGAAAAGTGTGGCCAAACCATTGATAAATATCATAATTTTCTCTTAATGTTTTAGTTGCAGCAGATCAGTTATGCGAAGAAAGATACCTTAAATGATGTAAGTTTTTTTACTTTGATGGAAGAGAGAAGTTGTTAAATACATGACTGAAGAATAATCACATTAACTACATTTAATTTAAATTAATTTAAATATAAATAAAATAAAATTTAGCTTCTGCCCTAGCCACCTTCTCTACTTGTTGGTCTACAGTATGCCTGCATAGATTGCATAGCCCTATGTTAGACTGATTATTGTTTTTGAATTAAAGCAAAGAATAACTCCAGTATTCACATAGCCAGCTAAAAACCCCACTGTTTTAATGCTTTTAATGCTGTTTCTGGAAGTAAAGTTTTATTGTGCAACATCTAAACATGTGTTAAGCAGTTGGGAGCATTCTGTATAACTTTGAGCCTTGTGAATTTTAGTAGGAAAATTGTTTCCATCCTGTGATATAGTTGGCATAAAGTAGTGTGGGTAATGGTTAATTATGATTTTAGCTTTTTGAGCATGCCTGAAAAAGTATTTAAAAAGTTCTGATACTTGATGAAATATAAATACAGGATTATCACTGAAGTTCTTGGAATTTGATGGTGGGGGAAGTCATTATTTAAATGTCTGGAATTTTTTTTTTTATTTGTTTTAGTTAGTAAATTACAAACATTAGCAAGTAGTCTTTGGGCTGAAAATAGTTACAGTAGCAAATAGGCTGAAGAAGCTAAGAACTATAATTTTGTTATGTAATTTTAGAATTAAATTGTCTCTAATGAAAAGAATTCTACTTGGCTACTTTTAAGAGGTATATAATTTGTATAGTTTTATACCAGTATGTATACAACTGTATTAATATAGTTGTATGTATATTGGGGCAGTAACCATAGCAGTCAAGTACAGCAAGCTGGCACAAATGCGCAAATTGAGAACTTTTTGATCTCTCTAAACTTTTGTGATCTCCTGTCTGCTTAAAAAGATTCTAAAACATAATAAGGAACTTATGCCCTGTTCAAAGAGTTAAAAATTTTAAAGGAACAATTATCCATGTGTAAATATGTAATAAATAATTTAACTGGCATAAGTGTGCTGACATGTAACCAGAGACAGACAATGTATATCAAATGATGAGTTGATCTTTCCTTACATGTGCACTGGTCTACAAATTATAGGATCCATACTTTTTTTGGTATTTTCTATTAGTGAAATAGTAAAACAGAAAAGTAATACAACAATGATAGTACAATAAGAAAATTATACATAATAGTAATTAAAATAAGCTGAAACCTAAGGAAAATCATAATAGAAAAAGGATCTGTAGAATATGAATATAAAACTAGCCCCATCCTTTAACATATTATTGCATCTAGATCATATAGAAACATATTACTCCATCTTCTCATTTTTAGAATATAAAGACATTTCAAAAATCGATGAAGAACACATCTCTTGAATCTACTCTTTACATTAAGAGTATAATTTTTTTCTATCTATGTAGGGTAATTTTCTTTGCCAAACTCCAGGCTTGATAAAGTCAGACTTTTTTCATAAAATGTTAAATGCCATATTTTCAGAATACTGTATAATTCAGCTTTATACACTTAACATACTACTGTAGTTGCCTTATCAGAACCTATGTAAGGATAGCTATAATGAAGTACAGGTAGACCTCGACTTACAACTGTTTGAAGTTATGACAGCACTGAAAAAAGTAACTTATGACTGGTCCTTGGACTTAAGACTGTCACAGCAACCCTGTGGTCAGGTGATCAAAATTCAGGCACTTGGCAACTGGCATGTATTTATGATGGTTGCAGTGTCCCGGGGTCACATGATTGCCACTTGTGACCTTCCCAGGGGGCTTCTGACAAGCAAAGTCAATGGGGGAATCCAGATTCACTTAAAGACCATGGTGATTCGCTTAATGACTGCAGCAAAAAAGGTTGTAAAATTGGGTGTAACTCACTTAACCTCATCGCTTAGCAACAGAAGTTCTGGTCACAATTGTGGTAATAAGTCAAGGACTACCTGTATCATGATGCACCACATTACTCCTTATAAAGTCATGGCATTCTCTGTAATTTGTCTTCTATTTTAGATACACTGATTCTATCTTTGATTGTTATTGAGTCACAGCTATTCAGATAGGAGTTGCACCCATTATTTTCTGCAAGTAGAGGTTCATTGTTTATGGTGTAGGGTATTTAAAGTTTCCGGATCTGTCCTCCAGAACTTTTTATTTTACAGTTGTTATTGTATTAAATCTGTTATATGTAGATAAAGTTGGGTTTTTCAAATGTAATAATCTTGCTAGCATGTTCTTACCTTAAAGTAAATGATTGGAGCAGAAATGGAGGTGCTTTATATGAAAAAAAAGACATTCTTCAATCTGTATGAACTATGCAAGATTCAGAACGTTTTTGTGTAATTTATTCTATCATTGTTCTGTTACGCATAATTTATTATAGTTTTGTTAGGAAGTAAGAGTGGGCAAAATCTGTTCCTTTTTTTTAATATATATATACTGTATGTATATAATTTAATTTTGATTATAATAGTAAAATCTAATACAAACTAAACTTAAGGAAAAGAGAATAGAGAAGAGTAAAAAGTGCAAGAAAAAAAAAGAAGAGAAAAGTAAGAATATAATAAAGCAAGAGAAAAGATATAAAGAAGTGACTTCTAACCTTCATCACAATTGTAAACAAATTTAGTGACTCTTCACCTCCTCTAAGGTTACAAACATTTATCTCTTCATCCCATATCCCATCTCTTATCTATAAACAAATCCATAAAACATACTTTTTTCAGTCCTGGTGTCAGCAGAAAGTTCGTAAAGGGTTGGCAGATTACAAACATTTATCTCTTCATCCCATATCCCATCTCTTATCTATAAACAAATCCATAAAACATACTTTTTTCAGTCCTGGTGTCAGCAGAAAGTTCGTAAAGGGTTGGCAGATTACAAACATTTATCTCTTCATCCCATATCCCATCTCTTATCTATAAACAAATCCATAAAACATACTTTTTTCAGTCCTGGTGTCAGCAGAAAGTTCGTAAAGGGTTGGCAGAAGTAACAACATACCTTGTTTTAACCTTGATCAAGTAC